TTATTATCTGGGTACAGTTTGCTAATTTAAAAGTTTTTATGACTTTTCAAGAGGGATATTGATCTATAGTTTTATATCCATATTTTTGTCAGTTTTGGGCATTAGGTATACATTGCCCTACATAATTCAAACTGAGAAGTATTCCTGTCTCTGTTTTCTGAGTTTCTACTCTTTATCAAAGTTACATATTAAAAATATTTTATCCATTTTTTTTATTCAGAATAATATGCTTAAGAAGTAATGAATGTCTAGGCACTCCCTGCATCTTCTTGCCAGTCCTGCATTCTGACCTTTACCTCTGCTACTCAGTGTCCTTTCTTCATTTTCAGTAAGAACTTCACCAAACAGGAGGACACAGCATAGAGTTATATGTTTTATCCCCTGCCTCTGTTTCCCCAAGTGCTAATAAGGTTTCAGACATGTTCCACCTTGCTCAATTTAAATAGTGCAGTGTCTAAAATCTACAGTCCTAGGCATGCTAGATGCACTGTCAACTGTATATATCCCCCAAACTTTCTATCCAATTTTTGAAAGAAAGAGTTCTGAATTGTAATGCAATAATCCTAGTAAAGTTTTGTTTCAGTGGAGAGGAAATATTAAAAAGTATAATGCACATATATCTTAAGCATTTATTTTTAATTTTAAATCTACTAGTTTTTACTTGAAGTTCAGATGTTTTTAGAAAAATGTGAGTTTGCTAATTGAAATTGAATGTCATATTTTCAGCATGGACTACATCCACTACCATTTTAAATGCCCAGTTGAGACTAGGACATAGCTCAATGGAAGCGTTTACATAGCATGTTACGGTTCTGGGTTTTTCTTCCTAGCACCCTGAGAGATCCAACAATAAACAACTTGTCTAAACTGTCTAGTGTTAATTCATAGTGAAGGAGATATGATTCAAAGCAAATGTAGAGATCTTTTAGACATTGTTGTAATTTAATTTTTGTAGTATTTTTGCATTGTTCTACCTATATTCAAAATTTTAATAATTTATCATCTTTAATGAATGCTGTGAGCATTTAAATTAACAAGAAACAACAATTCTTGGGGACAGTGGTTGTCTCTCTTATACTCATTTTTGATATTTAACTTGTCATGATAGCTGCAAATTTACCTGAATAAGCAGATTTGGGATTCAACTGAAATCTTGGTGAACTTCATCTCCACTAGTGGAAATAGAAAGGAAAGGTCACATTACAGTGTATTGTGCCATCTAAAAGCACTCATGGTGTTAGAAGGAGGGATTTGGGAATATTGCTTAATCTAACAAGGCACTTCTAATATCTATAACCAGAATTAACTTGATTAATCTTAAATCCTGCTATGTCTTTGCTTGAACTTCTAAGTAATTATTTACTATATACTTATGCACCTTAGATATGACCAAAACAGTTTCTTTTTCAAATCGTTGAAATTTAGTGAGGGAGACACCGTGTGGTGCTGTCACCATCAGTTTTTCTAGCTGCTAGTTGAGAAGAATGAACTCCACAGACACAGAGATTAGGAAAATAGCGTGATTTTCCCATGCTTTCAGTGAGGGAGTTTCTGAGTCAGGCCTGATCTTAAAGGAGTGCCTAAAATTAAGAAGGCTTTCAGGATGGAGGTGAACATTTGGGGTAGCAGGACCAGCATATGCACATTTTTTTACCATCAGTTATAGTCATCTGGTGAAGTTGTCTAAATAGACTTATACTTTATAAATGTGCTTCTTGTTTCATCCATTTGTATATTCCTGCAGCAGTGAAACTTTGTAGTAGGGCCTAAGTAGTCTTTGAAAGATAGAAATATAATAAAACGCCTTTTCTTTGCTCTCACCTGTTCCCTGATCAACAAATCAGTTGTATTGCAGGAGAAGCTTGGTGGCTCTGGTATCACAAACTTGTTTATATCACAAGTTTATATCACAAGTTTGTATCACAAACTTGTTTATAAAACTGAAATCTGCAAAAGTTAATTACCAAACTTCTTAATGTTACAGTGTTAATGTGAGATTGATTTATGACTCAGAAATCCTACTCAGTCTCATACAAGCCTTCCAATGTAGGCTGGATTCTAATTCACCACACTTCTTCCTCAGCCTCACAAGTGCTAGAACAGAGGGGTGTTCATGGAAACCATACACAAATCCCGTTTCATAGCCATTGTACCAAAATGTGTGTGACTGTGAAGAAAAACTTGCTTTAGTCATGGGAGAACGTTTAGATGTACGTTTAGATGTTCCTACAAGGTTCTCTTAGGTAGTTACATTTAAATAGCCAAAGATAATTGAAAAATTGTCCTGAAGTTTTAATTGCATCATTGATGGTTATATAATTCATGAAATTCTAAATTATATGATTTTTCTTGCTGTATTACTGTACTGTACTGAGATGTGTAAGTTGATCTAAATGCAAAGAAATCCCCTACTACCCTCTATCATCCTTTTACCACCAGCCCCCCTTTCTCTCTTACTGAAATACAAATGATTTTAGTGCCCTTACACTATTCAAACCCTCTGTAATCTACTAAAATGCCCTTCTTTTCAATCTCTAGCACATAGAATGGTTAAATCACTTTCATGGCTGCAGTTTCCTTTATAGGCCTAATCTCTGGTAATCTGTCTTTATCCCACTTGCACTCTTAACCCACTTGCCCTTAGCCCCACTCCCACACTGCCCAAAATACGTAGGCACATTCTCATTTTCTAGTTCCACAGACCCCAAATTCTCTGTCTCCCTCCTTACATCTATCTTATCATGTCTATAGATAGATAATCTGTCTGTCTGTCTGTCTATCTGTTGTGTCTATATTAATTAAACTGTTATGTATTTTCTCTTGTTAGCCAAGTCTTCTTCCCACTTTTTACTATTGTTAGTCTGGGAGAATCCTGCTTATACCAAGTATCAATGTATATTGTCACCTTCTCTTCCTTGTCTCTGAGGTCATTCTGTTTATGCCTTTGATAGAGCCCTTAACACACTTTAGTTTATTTTCTGTGTGTGAGCTCCTTGTTGAGAACTCAGAAGCTTAGATCATTATCCTTAGCACTTACACACTGTTTTAATGATCCATACTGAATTATTACTGATGATATTAAACAGTAACCTTTATTAACTGTCCTCTAAGGCACAAGCAATTATGAGCATTATTTAATCCTCATATTGATCCTATTGATACAGAGACAGTTATTACCTCACTTTATAAACTAGGGAAGTAAAAGCTGAAAAGGGGCAGAATAACTTGGCTAAAGTAACACAGCAAGTAAGTGATAGAGCCAAGATTTGAACCAGTGTGTCTGATTCCAACTTATACATGTTGGAATCATTTATTCATTGGTTCTTTGGGGAGTACAGCCAGAAGGTATGTTCTCTACTGAAGTCAACCCTAAATGACTGAAGAGGGGAGTGTGAAAGGTACTTTGTCACCAGAAAGATAAGTGAAATGCCATGGGAAAGGCTTCAAAGTCATTTGAAAGCTCTCATTTTGTTACAGAGGGAGATGCCAGATAAGCTACTGTGATGGTTATTGAGAAAGTTGGGCCAAGAAAATGAAACACTGAGAAAAATAATGCACATTTGTGCAGAATGAATGAGAAAAAGAGGAAAGGTGTTGTTTGGGTAATGAATGAGGTAGATTACCAGTGCTCAGACTACCCATTTACAGAGGGGATCCAAGGGTCAGTTTAACCAATTAGCATGTCCTGGTGGCACATTCTCCTACGTCTCAGGACTTTGGCGAGAATCTTCCTGATTCCTAATTTAGAAATCTTCCCATCTCAATATGCTGTATATTAGAACTGCTATGTCCATATTTTGAGAAAAAGTGCTAGACCAAGACGGAAATACTTTTTGGAAGAATACAACCTGATGCTTTTGATGCTGGTAGCTTTGCCCAAGACTCTGCGATTTTGGGGTTCTTGGTTTGCTCAGAACTAAATACTGCTAGCTTTGGAAATAAAAAAGGAAGGCTGTTATTTAGACCTCCTAGGTCTGTGCATTCATATTCCATGCTTGCAAGGGAAAATTATTAGTCCATCTTTGCTGGGCAGTTTGAACATAGGGATATATTATTCCTTGTCTTAGCTCTTAGACATCTTTTGGTTTGTCTTTGTTAAAATAAACACTCAGCCTTGCTTTTGGTTTGAGCATGGATAGGGAAATTACCAACAATGATTTTTAATGCTGTTTCTTCTTTGTTTTCCAGGGTGATGAAGAAGGACCAAGGTAAGATTATATTTTTGCTGCTTATGTGTTCTCAGAGTGGAAAGACATTTGTGACCTTCTAATGCTTCCTGAAATATAGATAAGCAAGGGACAGCAGGGAAAAGGTGCATCTGTCTTAATCCAGGGCTGTGAGGCCTTTAGTCTGTAGGACAACCATCTCCTTCCCCCCATCTGTGTCATTTTCTGCCTGTAAACTTCAGATAAAGGTAGACTTGAAAGTATATCGTGACAGAGACTTGGCTTTTTTTTTTTTTTTAAGCACATTCAGAGTCCCTTGTTCAGAAGAGCAGGCTCTATATTTGAATGATAATTAGACTATCAGGTGGATATACTAAACTTCAGTGTCCTTTTTTGATATAAATTAGATTTTGTGAATGTGCCCTAGACTGTATTGTTTCTGTCACAATGAATGTCAAACTGAATACTAGGTCATAAATATAAAAAACATTATTTAAGGTGAAGGGAGAGGCCTTTGTACTTTTCTATATCAACAGTTAGATGAAATTTAACAGAGCATTTATTATTCTCTCAGTCTGATGGTAAACTTGGACTCTCTTTCCTCTCCATCTGCTTGAGCAGTGAGAAAATACTGTAGGAAATGCTGCAGCTGTGCCATCAAACAAACTGTAATGTCCAGACAGACCCCATCTGTCATGGAGACTAAAGGACTTAAGATACGGAGATACCAGTAAGGGCGTCTGGTTCTCTGCTATTTGAACTTTATTTTAACCTCAGTACTGCTTTTCTAAGGCATTGTAAGTAGAACCTCAATGAGTATAAAGCATTTTTATTATGTGGAGTTAAGGCTGTGTTCCCTGATGAACCATTGTCTTCATCCCAGCAGAGCCTGGAGCAGCTTCCACAGAGACCAGAGTTCCTCAGAACTCAGTGTGAGATTCAGTAATGTGACTCAGTTCCTTCTTAAAGGAACCAAAATAAACTACCCAAGATTCCCTATGGAGTCAGTTTTTGACTTAGGTTTTATTTCTGACCAATAAATATAGTTTCTTTTTCCTCCTGTCTCAGGTTTTATTTTTTATTTTTTTTGTTTTTGTTTTTTGTTTTTGTTTGTTTTTTGTTTTTGTATCACTGTGATGAAATATACCTTGACACAAGCAATTTAAGAGAGAAAGCGTTTATTTGGCTCAAGGTTCAAGGCACAATTGATTATGGTGGGGAAGTGAAGAAGGACCTTGCAGCAGCTGGTTACATTGCATCTGCAGCAGAAGAAAAAATCAGCAAATGTTTGTGCTCACCCCATCTTTCATTTTTATATTGTCTAAGATCTCACCTAGGGAATGGTACTCACCCAGTGGGAATGCTTTCCCACTGTACTTAACCTAATCAAGATAATTCCCCTACAGCCATGCTCAGAAGCCAGTCTAACCTAGATGATCCCTCCCAAGTGTATGTGGAGGATTCTCTCATAAGTAAATTTAGATCCTGTCAAGTTGACAGTTATCGCTGATTACCACCTTTTGAATCCTCCCCCACTTTGAATGAATTGTTTGAGAATATCATACATGAATATAATATGTCTTGATAAATCTACCTTTACTTCCTGCTCTCCAACTTTTTCATATTTCTACAATTACTTTTACCTTCCATATGTTCCTTTTAAACCCACTGAGTTCACTTAGTGCTGCCAGTATGTGCATGGGTGTAGGGCAAACAATGGAATGTGGGCAAAAGTCACAACCCTGAAGGAAATTGATGATTTTCTTCCCCCAACAGCCATCAATTGCCAATAGGTCCTCACCTAAGGGTAGGATTTTGTGAGCCTCTCCCTCATCCATTCTGGGATTTTGGCTAGCTTGATTTCTTGCAGGCCTTGTGCATGCAGTCAGAGGCACTGTGAGTTCATGTGTGTAGTGACTCGTCATGTCCTGGAAACACTGTTTTGCAGTAACCTTCCACTAAATCTGGCTCTCATAATCTTTCCACCCTCTTCTCTAGTGATCCCCTGAGGATTTTGCAGAGGAGAGTGTGTGATACAGATGTCCCATTTAGAGTTGAGCAGTCTGTGGTATCTTATTCTGCGTATTGTTCAAGTGTAAATTTCTGTGTTAATTATCATTTACTGCACAAAGAAACTTCTTTGATGAGGGTTGGGAAAATGTACTAATTTATGGCTATAAAGATAAATATTTAGGGAACAATTTAAAATGATTTTTGTTAAGCAGAATAATAGATTCTCCTGGGACTTATGGCCTACCCACCTATGGATTCTTGGTCCAGTAGCAGGCATGTGTCCCACTTTGTGGAGAACTGAGAAATGTGCTCAGTTACCCCCCCCCGAACATTGGTCCCACTCTTCCCCATGGGCATATCTTGCAAGGTTTACAACTGAGTTAGATTATTGAGTACATTGCCCTCAATCCCCACCCCCCATCCCCATCACCTGTATGGTATCTCCCACTACTGTGAAAGCTAGCCTAGGGATGAAGCTTCTAGATGAAGCCAGCTCAAATTTTCCTTGTCTACTGACTGACATATATGGTATCAAAAAAATAGAGTCTTACCTTCAAATTCTGGAAAGTAACCAAGAACAATGGCAATAGCTTGTAATGTTTTGGGAGAAGTCTGTGGAACTCCACTGATCAACAGGAAGTAACCTATACCTGCCACTCACTGTTGAACCCCTTTCTTAAGATGTTCCAAATGATGTCCTGTATCTGAATTTTTGGTACGTCCTTCTCTTAAGAAGTTTATTTCTCAGTTTCCACTTTAGAGCTACGGAAATAACCAGCTCTGGTTTGGTATGGTTCAATCTAGAAGCATCATGCTTTAAACCTAAAGAGCCTCAGAGAATCCCTTCAGAGTCTACCTTAAAACATTTTCGGGAACAGGCTTGTTCTGTATTATGGTTTCTTCCCTCCCTAGCTCCTTCCTGTTTTTTCTGTTCCTTTAAAATGAGTTTGTGGAACTGAAGAAATGGCTCATCAGTTAAGAGAATTGCTTCTGCATGGCAACTCACAACCATCTGTAACTCTAATTCTAGAGGATCTAATGCCCTCTTACAGCCTTTGTAGGATCCTGTTCACATGGAATACACATAAATTCATGCAATCACTTACATATAAACATAAACAAATAAACATTAAAAAATGCATGTTTATGACCCTGATATAGCACAGACACTTTACTATACACTGTTACACACATGATGGTGACTAAGGTAGACATGGCATCTACTTTGTTCATTTAGAGTTTAGACAGAAGAGGTGAGCTTGTAAAGCAGCAGTATGAAGGGAATGCTATGATAAGGGAAGTCTGGGCTGTTTGAGGAGAGGGTTAAACTATTGTCTATCCCCCCACCATAAAAAAGGAAGAAAGGAGGGAGGGAAGGAAAAATAAAGGGGGGAGGCAAAAGAAGGAAAGAAGAGAGAGAGAATGAATAAATTAAATAAAAAGTCTTATGTAAAAGCCTTAGACAAGAGAGTGTAGAAGATAAAATGCACTGGCCTTAGAAGTCTTCTTGGGATATTTGCACTATCCTGGAGTCAGTAGAAAGCCATTAAAGAATTTTAAATTAAAGGCCTGTAATTCCAGCATTCTGGAAGTGGAGGCAGAAAGATCCAAGGGTTTGAGACTGGCCTTGTTAGCTGAGCTATGTGAGAGTTCTCAAAATGAGCAAAAACAGCACTTTCAACAAAAATTAGCCTGAGCAGGTTTGTGTTTTAGATGTCTCGTTTGTCTTCAGTGTGAAAAATGAATTGGAGGCAATCATAAATCTTGGTAAATTGACTAAATGAGGTGTTTCTGTTTTGTGTTCTGCAACAAAATCCATGAGGGTAGATTCTACATAAGGACATTGATCAGCTTTGTAGTTCTGAAGGGTCTAGGGGCCATGGTACCACTATCTGATTGGCTGTGGTGAGGGCATCATTGTGCATGTCATTATGGTATCTTAAATATGTGCAGAAGAAAGGCTTGTGGGAGGTTTCAGGCTTTCATTTTCTTAGAACTAATCCAACTACATAAGCCTAAATTAATTCCTTCCCAGGGTAATGTCCCAGTGGACAAGTCACATTCTACTAGGTGTCACCTCTGGATATGGCCACACTGGTCACAATATGTGCAGTTTGTGAACCTCTCAAGGACAGATTATGTCTAAGCTCTAGCATTAGACCTGTAATGATATGATCTTGAATCTCTTTTCTCTAATTATTAACCACATTTTCATTTAGTTTGAACACCAAATTCTCCATGGTTCACCACTTAATTCTCTAGCTTCTTGAAATCTAGGACAGACACAGCTCTAGACTTTCTTTCCCCAAAAAAGAGTTCAAGCAAGACCATACTGTGAGACGAGCTTAGCAGAAGTAGTAGGAAGGTTTCATGGGATAGCAAATAGCTTTTCTATCCTGATGGAGCTTAATTAGGCTGAACATTTCCATTTTGTCATGGCCACATTCCAAATTTGCATTGATTATAAGAGTATAAGGATACTTGCAGAGAAGTGTAAGAGACTATCTTTCAAGTTTAACTGCAGATACCTTAGTGTCGTTTTTGACAAGGTATAGAATTTCTTTTCTACTAAGTAAGATGTCAAGCTGTCTCCTTGCAAGCCAGACTGCTATGAATGTAAGTAGGATTCTCTTGAACTGGGACTTGACAAATTCTTTTTCAGTATTATGTGCACTTGAGAGCATGTTCTCAATTGGCAAAAAGGAAAGAGGATACATATTTTCTTCTTAACCTTTAAATTCATGCTTGTTGGTTCCATTCAGCTTATTTGTGTTGAACTACCATTTGTCTCAATCTATTCCAATTAGCATTTTAGGGCAAATTGCCTTTGATCTAAAATTCTTTCATTTATGATATACACTTTACCATTTCAACAAGCCAAAAGAGAATTTTTCCCATAGTTCTCTGTGTTGCTGTGAGATTAAATGAGTTTGATGCATAAAGGAAGAAGGAAGGAAATGCAGGTCTCCCTGCCTAAGACTGGATAAGGAATGAATATGGAGACTAGGTCCCATATTCAGTCATCCTCT